GTGATCTTCCTTCACGTTTTTGAAAAAGTTAGAATTTGAAATAAACGACAATTTCCATATTTTCTAATTATAAGCGTTTTGGTGGGAGAGGTTTTTATAAGCGATCAATTTTTGTAACAATTATTATTTAAATCATATATTTTATTTTACTTAAGGATCTTCTGACGGGGCTAAAATATGAAAATTTTGTTGAAAAGCTGCCTCAGAGAAAATTGGAACCTCTATGCCGGGAAATTATTATTACTTAACCGGACCATTCATCGAGAAACCGGATGAATGCTTAGCAAATACATCGTAACTGGATGACCCTTAGAATATCGTAATATTAATTAAAAGGCAACCTACGCAGTGTGCGAATGAAGTAAAATTGGACGGGCCTTTTTAATTAAGATCACTTCAAAGTTCGCTCACTTCTTTTGCACACCCCTAAACATTTGAGAAGGGCGGACACCTATTGCCCCTATTTGTGTGGAACTAGATCAATCAGGAGCTCGTCTGCCAGTCAACAATCTATTAAAGCTGTGACGTCGGCTTCTAGATTGATCGCCGGAAATGAAAGGGAAAAATGGGAAATTATTTTCTTTTCCGATTTGTCTTGGCGAAAGCGTGGCGGAAAAACAGGGCTAGCCAAATAAAGGAAAGACTTACGGTAAAATATGTACGACTAAGGCTGGAAAAATTATTTTCGGCAGTCTAAGATGACCATGTCGTGAAAGAAAATGTTCTATCAACACCAAATTTTATGTAATTTTGACTAATTATTTGCAAAATCGTTTGAACTGCCCACAACATCAATTTTAGAAATAGGAATAGTCTTCGAAATATAATTCGAAGTTAACTGAATTTTTATATTTTTTGTTATATTGATAGGTCAAAAACCTTTCTTAAAAAAATGCGGCTATAACACATGATGATGGCCAAAGATGATAAAATTGTGACACTGAAATCGGAAATGTGGTGTACAAAGAAATAAATTTCAAGTATTTTTTGTTTTTGTATTAGTATTCATGTTGTTCTTTAATATTTGTTTTTAATATCAATTGAATTTAACTGTTGCTGGAAATCCTCGGTTTGAAGAATTAAAGAAACAAAAACGATGTACAAAAACTGTTTCCGAAAACCTGATGTTTCATATTTCATATTGCACATTAATGTTATGTAAAATGTATTTCCGATTTAAGAACGACCCTTTGTCCAGGGTGTCCCACTTAGGTTACTATTGCGGTGTATCTGCGTTATTTTTATAGATACATTCTCGCAGCAGTGCGACTTTGTCGAAAACTAAAGATGCCCTTGACAGCATTTCCATAGCCCTTTTATTTTTTAAGATACCAAATGTTCGATTGTAATACCCCTCTAGTATTTTCGTGATCCCTAATCTTGTGGAAAAATATCTTCTAGGTATTTTTTTTGGTAGAATGTAGTAATGTGGATAATTTGATAAATGGATTTTGTAAATGGAACATCATGTGTGTTTATAGACGAAAAAATTTGTTTTTTTTACCTTTTGAAAAATATATCATAGTCAGCACTTTTGCCCAGAATCTCATAAATAATTAACGATTTCCTAGCATAAAGTAAGCAAATACAAAAAATAATATCATATAAAAATAAAGCCGATTTTCAAACTATTATTACTAATGCAACATGGAGGTACCAATCCAACAATCAATCAAGCCATCGCCATCTTGCTGTAGGTAAACTTCCTTAAGGATTTTTAGACACTTACATGCTGTAACAGATCTTTAAAAACTCCTGGTCTGTTCAAAGTAAAACATAGCACCCCGATTCCAAAGCGTCTTTGTTGTGTCTTCTGACCTGTTTTTGACACACTAATTTGCTTCTCAATTTTTCTACATGAAGTCAAAGTTGCCTCCATATGTTCTAAAACATGTTCTTTTTATTGTTTATTTTTGGACGTAAGGGAATCTGATCTGCGATCAATTAAATTTTCTTATAAATTAGCAAATATTTCAAACAATGGTTACTTTCTATCTGGATACCGAAAAATCACAAACAGAGTTTGTTTTATATTTGGTTTATTGTCTTATGACCTTCTCTCCATTTGTTTTCGTTCATTACTTGATCTCTCAGTATTACTCCTTTAATAGTCCTTAACGCTTTCATTCTTGTTATTCGATTTATGGTCCCTGTCTCTTATAGATTCGGACTTTGCTCTCAATGGTCAAACACTCGTTCTTAAAAATTATAACTGTCAATTCTGGATACCTTTTTCGTTTATTTTTTACGATTTTCTTTGATTAAGTCGCTGTGGCTTGTTATTTCCATTTCTAAATTTCGAATTTAGCTCTATCTGTTGGTTAGTTTACATGTTATTGACTCTTTTTACTATTATCATGGACTCTGTCTTTTCTAGAGATATCTGCATATTGAACCTTGCTATTATTTGAAACTTGATAGCATTGTTTGCAAGTCGTCTTCATTTTCGGCGATTAAGATTGCATCGTCCGCGTATATACTTTTTCTCCCATTCTCTATTATCCAGTATCTCCCATCTCTCAGTGTCTTTCGCATTTTTTACCATTTTATCTATAATGAGAGTGAATAGAGTAGGGCTAAAACTATCACCTGTCTGATCCCTATTGTGATTGGTATTTCTGCCGTTAATCCTCCTTT